AAAAAAAAAAAAAAAAAAACAAAACAAAACAAAAACAACTAATCGCGCATTGACTTTAACTAGAACGGTTGAACCCTTTTGATTATAATTAATAATATTTTCTCTTTTTTAATAAAACGTTTTGAATGAAATGTTAATTCATTTTTCTATGTGTAACATTTATTTTTTTTCATAAACTTTTTACGCATATAAACTAATTAGGTTCCGAGCGTTTAACTGTCTGTGCGATAGATAATAATGCAAAATAATTCTGATATTTCCGGAATTTTTCGGAATTTCAATAAAAAAATTATTATTACTGGATAAACTACAGAATTTTAAATTTGAACGGTCCTTTTTTTTTTATTTTCCTAAATTGTTAAATTTTTTTTTTTTTTTTTACGGAACCAATTTTTCGCGATCTCCTTTTCTCTATCCCCTTTTTTTTTTGGTGAAACTGTACAAAAAATTTTGGCCAGAAATTTTTATGTTGGCGTAATTAAAACCATAAAACCGGTATAGTTTAACTTGCTAATGTCTGTCTGTTATGTAACGCAGGCAAGATATGCTTTGCAAATCATAATGAACGTCATATTTTATAACGTTACGAAAATGTTGGTAAAAAAAAATTTTTTTAATCCAATTTAGGTTAAATCAGTTTAATATTGTATCACGTGATAAAAGTATTTATTTTCCTAATTCCTATAATTTAATAATCTATTCGGATGATAAAAAAGCTATAATAATTTAAATCTTAAATAAGAAAGGGATGTTTGTTTTTTATTGTACGTGTAATCACATCATTTAGATGTCATATAACGAAAATCTCGATTTCTTGATATAATCAATATCAATATAATTAAAAATTTTTTGAAACCTTTCCTTTCCCCCCTTTTTTTTTTTGAGATTATTTAATTACTTTTTTTACAAACAAATGAAAAGAGTCAGTGGTAATACAATTGGTATATTTGTTTCTTTTGATCCCGGTCATATACTATTTCTTTTGGTATGTTTGATCCGAAATCCGAATACTGCGGTATTATTATTTTGATTTTGATTGATTTGATTTTTTTTTACTTGATATGGTTCAATTGAGAGTTAATTTCATACCCAAATTCATCAAACCTAGATGATATTCTAAATGATATCGTTACTCAAATTGTGGTCATACTATAAATTTACCCCAAGCATTTTTCAATGATCTACGGTTTCAAATTTTGTGTATGAAGATTCTTTTTGTCTAATAAAATTTTTCAAAGTATCAAAAAAAGTAATCCGTCATTATAATAATTAAAGTTTTATTATCATAATCATTATAATTTTATTATTTTTAATTCAAATTATCACTATAATTCAAATTATTGTTCAGTCGATTAGGAATATGCGGGCCGATATTTTTATGAGACATCCAATATTTGATAATCGTTATTAATAAATAGCATTAATTTTTATTGGTCACCGCAGTATTCCTAAATCCTAATGACCGAACTATATTAGATTTAAATAATTTAAGATTATATGGAGGGCATCTCAATAAAGGACACGCCAAAAAATATAATATAAAATATATGTGTATAATAATAATCAATTAATAACCCAAATCCTGAATCAGAATTGAGCTATAAGAAATAAAAGAATAAAAAAAAAATAAAAATAAATAAAATATAACTCAGTTATTGGATGGTCGAAGACCGATATAATTATCATTATAAATTATCACTATAATTCAGATTATTATTATAATTCAAATTATTACTCTTCAAATTATTAATTATCATTTTACTAATTATAAATTCAACCTATCTGCACGATATATGCAATTAAAATATTTCGTAATAGTCTTATTAATGATATTATTCAAACGAGAGAGTCCGCCAAACGAGAGTATACTGCTTAACATTTTACTGTTAATAAGAAAATTCATCAAAGAAATTTTTAATTCCATTTTTTTTTTTTCAAGCCCACTCGATCCGTAAGTGATGGCATGTTCTCTTTTTTAAAATAAAAGGGGACGTTTGAGTTGTCTGAGCTGCCTGAGCTGTCTGAGCTGCTTGAGTTATCTGAGCTGCTTGGGCTGTCCGAGTTGATTGAGCTGTCTGAGCTGCTCGAGCTGCTTGATGTTCGGACTGGTGCTTTTTCCTTGGCTCTTTTACTGAGCGTTTTGCTGGCGGTTTTTTTGTATATTTATTTTTGTCGATTTTTTTGGTAGGTTTGGTCGGTTTACTGCTGTCGATTTCTATTTCATTAGTGGCGAATTTTTCTACTTTTATCTTTATATCTTCGTCCGAACTTGAATTCTTGAATTCCAATTCCACAAATTTTTCGAGTTTCTGTCGAACAAACACATCCAATAGCATATTTAGTCTTGGTAGAAAAATTTGAATTTGCTTTTTAAATAATTGATTTATTGCTTCTTGTATTAAGTACGCGATATATCCTGCTTTTTCACAACGCCTGAATTCAATAAAGTAAAAACATTTTAATGTTTAAATCCACATATCAGTTCGGCCTTCACTTCGAAATGGCAGTCCAATATGTTGCTTGCCGTAAATAGTTGTAAGATAAAAATCAAGTAATTATAATGGTCGTAAATCAGGATTACCATCTTTTAGATAACCATAATAGCGTAGTATCTGCAACCAATTTACGATATTCTTAATATGCTCCATATTGGCCAATTTAGCTGAATCCAAAAATTTTCAAGTTAGAATTGTTCACAAAATCATACACACACTTAATGAATTATATACTTTAACATACAGTTCCAAGAGTAGTCATCATATTTTTTTCAAAGGTCAATCAAAGTTTCTTCCGTTAAGTCATTAAAACGTTCTGATAATCGGCTTTAAGCGTTTTCTTCATCTTCTGTAAATCCATATGCTCCGGATAAATCAGAGCTTATTGTCATATCCTCCAAATTATTATAAACTCAACTGCGCAATCATTGTGTCGCCTATTACAAGAAACTTTGCAATGCCTTTATCACTCAATACTGGCAAATCATATTCATCTATGAGAACTACCACTTTCTCATACACGTTTTCTTCATGTTCGGATATTGATGTAATTAATTTTTCATTGATACTTTTGACCGTATCACGCTCCAAAATAATACCAACTCTATTCCTAATCGATTTTAGCATCTGAATGAAGTTCATTTTCTAATACCTCTGATACTTTATTCTTTATTCGATGTTAACTTAGAGAAATCAAGTCGGATGACCGGAATTGGAGGCAAGTCTGGTTCATTCCACTTCTTTATTGCACTCTTAACATAAATGTCTGGCGGATGTTCAATTGTTCATATAAAAATTTTCCAAATTTTCGAGGTCGCGATACGAAGTAATGATCACAATTCATATTAAGCTTAGCCAGTTGTCCACCTATAGTAGATGATTCTCACGTACTAATTTGAATTCTGATTGTGACACGGGAACCTCACCACTTAAACCTTTAATAATATTTGTTTCCTCAGGATCTCTATATCAAAGGCGCCTTTTCCTCTGTATGTGCTCTTTGTGGAAAAATAGAAAGAGAGAAACAAGCTAATTAATAAAAGGGCAGTGAATTTCTTGTTCGAGAGGTAAACCGTTGAGCGGAGAGCGGCGGCTGTTACACTATGATTCAATTCCTCTAGGACGTTCTTCAGAAAAAGTCTGCAATAGATTCGTAGACGAACTTACTGCCTCCAAGTTCTTGTTCAATGTCGATTTCGGTATTAGACTTCTCTTCAAGTATATTCATTCCTTCGGTAACACCTTCAAACTTTCCAAATATTTCCGGATACTTGCTTGACACGGGTAAATTTACTAATAGTAACCGGAAAAACATTGTTAAGATCGTTACCCAAAATGAAGCAATAAAATATTCTTTGGGCCATAATCCTGCAATGTCGAGGGTTGATAATGTGAGCTTTGAGAAGGTAATTTGTGAGGAAAGAGAGAGCTTAGAGTGGTACGAACGCATCGTGTGTTATATACCACGTTATACATTATAGTGAAGTACCTATTTAGCCGTTTACCAGATCATTTTTACATGTGTTCGATTTGACATTTTATTGTGTCAAATACAGTATAACTAATTATATTGACTACAAATACAAAAAAAAATGTATCATAATCTGGATATTTATACGTCTGTAATTGTGTGTGTAACAAAGAGATCTGTGTGATGAGATTTATGAGATTTCTCACGTATACAATTTTCCTTAATCCGACCAGCATTATTTTCTCTGAGGGAGGGCTTTACTAAGTAATTCTATGAACTGTTATATCTCATATAACTGGCAACCGTTCTATTTAACCAGAATACCAGATATCGATGATTAAACCGTATCAATTCTTGGATAATTGTGCTAATATAGATAAGTTAGATTAGTCACTTTTCCGTAACAACACTTGTAAACAAATCCGTGTATCTCCGAATCATGTAATTTATTATTTATTTCTACACGAATAAATCCCGCAATTTAACAGTAATTCTGGTCAAAACATTTTGTCACGGGTTTTATCCTATTTTCTCACATGTCGACCTTTGAATGTTACAAAATGAATTTTTTGAAAATTTGTAATTTTTTTTTTTGTGAATGAACATTAAAATTATTAGTTAAAAAAAAAAAATTCAAATTATTCCCATCTTCCCTATAAAAACGCAATGTTCATAAATTATGATCATATATTATACGAAAAATTGTAATATATCCATAAGATTTCATAAATCGTATAGTATATAATGTACAAAACTACAAATTAGTGTATCTAACTAATTTATGTACCAACTAATATATATAATATGTTCAATCATAAATATTCCGCATGTTCTAATATATGTGACTGTACACATGGCAGTAGCTACTATAAAAAGTGTACGATATGTTAACATACTGACAACTAGCACCAAAGATGATTTTCAAAAGTGGATCAAAGAATTGTTCTTATCCAAAAACGATAAATCCATCCAACAATCATAATTCCAACCTGCCATTCCAACTTGTTGCAGTGAAAATGAATCATTCCCAATAATTGCTAAGAATTACGAGTAGTTTCAATTCTTACGACAGGAAGCCTTGAAACTATTGTGATCACAAGTAAGAAGACGCGATCAATAGTGAAATTAAAAGTTTTGAAACTCTTGTTTTTGTTGAATTGTCTATGAGAACTTTAATGTCGGTGTTAAACTTGTAATTAGAGTCATAAACGAATGTCTTCATCGCTTTTAATATCAAGCTGTATGCCACTTTTTGAGTCCGGCGGTAATAGATGTGGAGGTAGGGATTTTTCTCCGTTTTTTTATCGTATCCACTGTAAATACACGGTGACCCAAGTCTTTTTCAATAGTAAAAGAGTAAAGTAAATAGTGAATATTTTAATTGCAAATTTATAATTTATATCTGCCTGTGTAACAGATACACTATCTCCACCTCCATAGACTCTCATTATAATGGGTTATTGGAGAATTTCCAGTAGATTTTGCCACTCTTATCGTCTGTTAATATACATCTTTACAAATCTTTTTCAGATAATTAAGACCGTTATCATATATTCGTGTCTATATCAGGATTTACAAGATAAATTCACACAATTCATAGATATTTTCCAGACGTGAATAATTTGAAGCAGGGATTGGCGACTTCATATATACGTTCTCAAATATAAATTTTGTGTTCGCTTATCAATGAAAAATAATTTGCCCATATTCAGGTTTGTAATAAAAAAGTTAAGCGTCAAACTCTTAAGAAAGGGTGATCAAAGAAATAATGTGATGCTGGGACTCGCATTAAATGGCCTAGGATCGTACTCCTTCTTTGATATTTCATTCGCTTATCTAGCATTTTTCACTTCTGAATCTAATTGTTATTATAAAGTTTCACAATCGCATCAAAAAAATAAATCATATTTTTATGCCATCGTCTAAAGGACCCCGGATAATTATGAGGTCATATTCGACTATGTTTTAAACTTTATATCATACATTATATAGAAAAAAACCAAAATTATGCTTAAAATTAGAGATAAAGTTGTGTAACAAGGAAAATTATATAAAAGTATAAGTTTGATAAAATGACACGTCGCGCGTCGCGTTTTCTCATCACTTAAAAGTTTAATGAAAGTTTGTGTTATGAGAGATAAATATTCAGAATCTATTTGTGTTGTACTTTATCATAATGATTGGAAATTGGAAAGAAACAGCAGATAGCAAATTAAAAGAAATTTTCTCTGACAAACAGATACAAAATCAGAGGTGCCCTGCTAAACAAGTCGGAAGAAGAACGTCTAAATTACTTCGTAGGAGATGACGAAGAAATAGGAATTACGCTTTCAACGCTCTTGCAAGGTAAACTTTTGCCTCAGGATTGGATTAGTACTCTCCTTTTGTAACGTCCTTTCTTAGTCACCTAATCTAATTTAGATGAACATCTAGGTAAGCTTTGTGGTGACGTGCTAACCTTGTCACAAATAAACGTCAAATAACAGGTTTGAATCTCTAAGACATTGTTAATAGACCTGGTCTGTTCGAGGTCGCAAATTTTTATAATGATATCATGAATAAATTGCTGGTGATGATGAATTTGGACTGGTTCCAACCATACGAGTAATTTACGCAGTAATATGCAATTTACCGTGCGACATTCGTTTTAAGCCCGAGAATATGCTTTATACTTGGGATATTACCGGAGGTCGAATCAATCATTACCTTTCGCCCATAATTCCAACTGATCTACGATTTGAGTATCCCGGAACTTTATCCAAAGCATTACTGGGCGATTCCGAATCAATGGCTCAAATATCGATGTGCGCATGGATACAAATATTACAAACATTGGAGATGATTCTTAATGAGTTTTGGAATAATATTGGCGATTCCAAGATGCTCTTCGGAGTATCAGGCGCGCGGGGTAAACACGAACTATCTTCGATATTACAATGAGTACTAATGGTATTGTGTTTTATATATTGAGTGTGTTACTCCTTCGGATGAACGGTGATATTCCACAAAAGATCGATTTTTTGGTGAACTATACTCAAGAATGAATGAAATCAACCTTGTTAGCATTGATGGCCGTCAGCTTGAAGCCGATCGGCTTGTTGCTCTCCATTTTGCTTCGAGGATCATTCTTGTTCTTTTAAAAAAAATCCTAAACTGACCTAGATTCGGAGCTGGAAATATCTAAAAACAGATGAATCTGTTAAGCTTTTAGGCTGTGGTATCGCGTTTATAGTGGGATAGAACCGTTGTCACAAGAGGTTGTTATCAGCGTCCTTGGCAAACACTATGCGAAACACACCACGCTTTTACTTCAACACGCTATAATGATTTGGTTGGTATCATAAGAAATGATAAGGCCAATCAAGCAAAAGGATTAATCTGGTAGCACTTAATTATATCAGGCATTAATTGATACCGAAAATACAGTTGAAAAGTTTCTCGGTAGATTTGTCGTGGGCTAGTTCCGCATTTTTTAAGATTGACAGTGCTAGAAAAATCCGATTGCTAGAGTTAAAGTACAAAAGAAAGTTTAGAGATGAAATAGATGTCTTGGAAAGGAGAAATTGATAATTTATGTTAGAACCTTCAAATTTGATGCGACCTGATGGAATTTATTTGAAGATGCATGGTTACAATAAAAAGGATTTTTTTTCGATACAAGTTATAGGCTTTTGGCAAGTAGTTTAAGTGGAAAGGATACAGATGCCGATGTTTGATCAACGGATTTCACGAAATTATATCAGATGTTTGGTTGCAACACAGGAATCCATAATCGTAGATACAAAAATCCACAATATTGCACATTTTAAAAATCGATTATGAACTCACTATTTTAACGAACAATAATTCTGGTTTAGATTAAAGAATCCAGGATGAGAACATTTTGGTTAAATCGTATACAAAAAAAAAATAAATTATCGTAACAATTGGTAACGATCCCTTTATATGATGATAATGGACAGGTTTAAGAATAATTTAATAAAAGTAAATATTTGCATACATCCTTTTTTTTGAATCTATAACACCTATCGCAGCAAGAAAAACTTGAATAATTTAAATTCGAGTTTATTTATGAATTTTAAAACGATCCTAGATATCTATAAATGTAAGGGAATTTTTGACCCATTAGAAAAATATAACCAGTAGTTCTAATATTACATATTAGCTGCATTTTCAGCTAAATGCCGAGAAATAATTAGTCGTTGAATTTGTGAAGTTCCCTCATAAATTTGGAAAATTTTAGAATCACGGTATAATTTTTCGACCGGATATTCTGAATTCAAGAAAACAATAGTTAATTATCAACATAATTATGCTATGATTACAATTCATTTTATTTACCAGTATTGAACCCATTTCCACCAAAAATTTGAATAGCATTACTAGCTGTAGTAACGGCAACATCAGAAGCCAGCTATAGGGTTGTTAAATAAAATCAATTCTACTTTCAAGGAGTTACTACTTTTCACTATTAAGAAATCAGTCAAAAACATACCGCCTTTGCAATAGATGCATAATATGTATTTCTCTGGTTTTGATCACGCAACCAGGCAGACTATAATATATAAATATATGAGTGAAGGAAAACATTCTTAATACTCTTACAAGCTAATGTAAATTTACCTTCCAAACCATATTGCGCGCCGCTTCAATCCCAATAGCAGCATCAGCAAGCATGAATGCTACACTTTGGTAATTGAAGCTATATATAAAAGCACAAAAGTAAAATTAATATATGATATTAGCTATGAACATATAAAATTAAATAAATTTCACATTGTTTGTCCCATTGTTTTTCTTTCAAGTGAATATTTGAGGGCTTCTTCCATAGCACGACGAGCTAATCCCACAGCACCAGCTGCGATTAATGGACGTGTGATATCGAAAGCAGCCATGGCAATCTTGAAACCTTGACCAGGAGATCCGAGGCTAGTTAAAAGAAAGTTGACATATAATTGTGTTATTTCTCATATTTCAAGATATTACTTCAAAAATATAATATATATTACACATTTTCTTGAGGCACAACAACTTCTTCGAATGTAACACCTCTCGTGTCACTTGCGCGTTGTCCTAAATTTATTTCTTTTTTGCCAAGTGAAATACCGGGTGTATTTGCGTCAACAATAAAACCTGTAAATGCGGAACCAGCTTTTGCGGTTGGATCACTACGAGCCAAAATAAAATACCAATTGGCTTTACCGCCATTAGTGATCCACATTTTTTGTCCGTTAATAACCCATTTATCGCCTCTTTTTTCTGCCTTGGTTATTATTCCGGCAACGTCTGAACCTGCGCCAGGTTCTGTCACGCAATAGGCGGCCATAAGCGGCTCTTCTGTCATACGACCTAAATATTTTTTATTCTGTTCTTTATTTCCAGCTACAAGTAATGGAGCTTCTGCAAGTCCATTTGCCTCAATAGCTGTCTGAATGCCCGTGCAACCCCAAGCTAATTCTTCAGTAATTAGGCTGGAATCAAAAACACCAAATCCAAGACCACCAAATTCTGTAGGAATATGGGTATTTACTAGACCAAGTTCCCAAGCTTTTTTAATAATTTCTGTTGGATACTCGCCGGTTCGGTCATGGTGTGCTGCCTTTGGCGCGATTTCTTCATGAGCGAATTTGCGAGCAAGTTCTTGAAAACCTTGTTGTTCCTCGGTCAAAGCAAAAGTTGGTCCACCTGCACTGACAGTGGACGTAAAAGTACGAGCTGCCAATGCTAAAGCAGAACGTATTGTGGTAGAATGAAAAATAGGCCGCAACATTTCGAACCACAAGTCTCCGATCTAATCAGCAGCAATGATTATCAATTTAACTAAAAAAAAAATTGTCGATCCGAAAATAAACTTTTAATTATTCTTGATATCGGATTTTTCAACAACATCATGACTTCTTCAGGAACTCCCTCTACCACTAAAGAAACTCTTTCTAACGTGAACGTAACCGCAGCATTAGATGTCGAAGGAAATGTTCCATTAAAGAGTGTTCAAATTGACGGTTTGGTATGCACTTTGTTGAACAAAATTTATGTGATCGGATTTTATAACCTTTGATTCTCCTATAATTTTAGGTAGTTCTTAAGATTATCAAGCATTGTCGCGAGTTTTTTCCAAATCCAGTAACTGGACAACTTCTAGGCCTTGATGTTAATGGTGTCTTGGAAGTAACCAATTGTTTCCCATTTCCTGGATCTAAAGCTGACGACGAAAATGAACTCGTAGATGGTACTTTAATCTTAATCACTTTTTTAAGTGAATTGAGTTAACTAATAATTCTTTTTTTTTTTTTTTTGAAAATTCAGGTGCTAGATATCAAGTTGACATGATGCGTTGTCTTCGCGAAGTAAATGTCGATAATAATACAGTTGGATGGTATCAATCGACATACTTGGGTTCTTTTGTAACACACAAGTTAATTGAAACCCAATATAATTACCAACAAACTTTTAATAATAAAAGTGTTGTAATCGTGCACGGTATGTTGGACATTAAACAATACTTAAATATTTTTTGTTTAAATCAATTTTTACCTGCAAATTTTTTTTCTTTAGATGTCTCTCGCTCAACCCATGGTAACCTTTCATTACGTGCATTCAGATTTTCACAAGCATTCATGGAAGCACAAAAGGAGAGCAAATTTACCACAGAATCTCTAATAAAAAACAAACTAACATTTTCGAATATTTTTGAAGAACTTCCAATTACTGTTAAAAATTCACATTTAATGACAGCGCTTCTTCATTCCTTGGATGATTATGAACATATTATACCAAAAACAACTTTAGATAAGGAAACTGTGGTCAGCCCATTAAGTCCAAATTTTGATACATTAGAATTAAGCCTTGATCCATATATCGAAAAAAATTTAGAATTTTTGTTAGAGGCTGTTGAAGAACATACACAAGAACAAAACACATATACATTTTGGCAACGAAATGTTGGTAGAGAACAAGCGAAAATGCAGAGTGCTCTACAAAAGAGAGTAAGTTTTTTACAATAGCCATACAAATCTGAGAGTTATTTTTTACTAATAATTATTATTCACTTAATTGATTATAAGAAACAAGAAAACTCATCACGACAGGCTTCTGGACTAGAACCTCTTCCAGAGGATGATATCCTTAAAATGTATAAACTTCCTGCTGAACCCTCAAGACTTGATTCTTTATTAATTACAGCACAAATTAATAATTATTGCAAGCAACTAAACCAATATTCTGGACCAACTCTTGGAAAATTTTTTATGGCAGGAGAATTGCAAAAATAAAAATAATCATAGAAAGTTTGTAATAAATGTTACACTTTTTTCTATTAAATAATTAATAATTTAATAAATTTAAATTTATGAAGTTTGCATTTAATTTTCTTCTTTATTGTTATTGGATTTGCTTGAGGAGATTGATTTATCAACATAAATAAATTTGCGTGAATCCAATTCTAGTGTAACTGGACCCTAATAATAACAAATAGAATTAATAACGCAATATTAAAAATCATTTAAGATATTAATACCCTACATCGTTCACTATGTTAACAATCATCTTTTCGCCAAAAACACCATCTACAATAGAAAGAAAATATATTTAAATAAAATTTATAAGCTTATGCTTTACACGAATTGAAACAAATTACCTTTAATTCTTTCTTCAACGTATTCTTGCTTTAGCCTATTTAAGAAAGTTGAATACATTTCCTTTGATTCATTAGCTTTCATTGCATTATGAAAACTTGGTTTATCTAAAATAAAAAGGTTTATTATAATTGTGAAAAATGAATTAAATTGCATACTGCATTAGTTAAATTTACTTTTTGATAAACTTCCGTATAATGTGAATTGAGATACTTGATATATTTGATTCCAAGGTTAGCTGAATAATTAATTGGTGATAATTCAATAAAGTATCATCACTTACCACACAAAATTTCTAATTCCGCATCTTTAACACTTCTTGACCACATTTCCTCACCTTTTTCATCTTCAAATACGCGTACCTTCAGGATCTTCTTTACCATATATTCTAAATCGTCTATTGTATCATCAAAAGCTATACCCAAAAGAATGCAGAGTCCTCTATCTATAGAGGATACTTGTGTATTGACTAGTAAATGAATGTAATAAATTATTTACAAGATTCCTAAGATTCCTTAATAGAAGACGTGAACAAAACAATATAAATATCGACCTGTTACACTTGCATTTAAAACTCGTTGAAGAACTGCGCGCATAATGACTTTTTTTAAAGACAATTGCAAGTTTTGGAATTTTCAAACCATTTTAAAAAAATTAAAAAGGCACGTGATTGAGAGCCGTTTTTATATAAGGGTAACGCGTCTCTTTATTCCCTCTTTATTCCCTCTTTATTCCCTTCCCTTATCACAAGGTCATATAAACGTTTTTAGCACTCCAATTATATCTTGTAATGAGAAATATTTCGTACTTTACATTCTTCTGTACATAAGTCATACCGTTGCACCTACATATCGGTAAAAGCGTAATTTTCTCTTGAATAGGTTGTATTCATATAAACCACATTATTAATTACGAGATAAAAGAAACAAGAGAAACAGTTTGAGGACTTGAAAAGTTGACTGTATTCGCTTAGTCAACTTTTGTAATGAATAAAGAAAGTGACGATTTCATCAGCCTCGATTTTGAAGAAGGCGCCTTTGGTTGCTTCTTTGCTAATAATAACGACACGAAAGATACTTCAAGTTGCCGTACGGATGGCAGCAATAATGAAAATGATATAATCCAGGATTGTTTAAAACCTGAGTCTGAAGAAAACCGAGTCGAATTAGTAACTCACAAAGCTGGGTTTGATAAAGTTGACCAAACAAAGGTCAATAAGATTTTAAAGAAATTGGAGGAAAACTCCTCGTTTGGTCGGTTAAAGGCCAAAAAAGATGCAGAACTTCAAGAAAATATCCGAGAACAGAGATGGATCTATGAGCGTCTTCAGGCGCAAGATTTAACCTTCGTGAGATCACGTGTTCAATCTTGTATCAATAGAATTGAACAAAAGCGTGACTTAAGCAAGTGTATTGTGTGCATAGACATGGATGCATACTATGCGTCTGTTGAAGAAAGAGATGACTCTACGCTGGTTAACAAGCCAATGGGTGTTGGAGACACTGCGATGCTATGTACAGCAAACTACACGGCAAGGAAATTTGGCGTGAGGAGCGGAATGCCTGGATACTTTGCGAGGGCGCTTTGTCCTCAAATTGTGATCGTAAAGCCAAATTTCGAAAAGTATACAGCCGTTTCACGACAAATTAGGACGATTTTTGCACGATACGATCCGAACTTCAGCGCGATGAGCCTTGACGAAGCATTTTTGGACATAACCAGTTATGTTCAGTATAACAATCAGACTCCGGAAGATGTGGTGCAACAGATAAGGAACGAAATTTACGATGAAACGAAGCTAACCGCCAGTGCCGGTATTGCCGCAAATAAGTTATTAGCAAAGGTGTGCGCGGACGTAAACAAGCCTAATGGGCAATATAGACTTGCAAATGATAAAGATAAAATTATTGAATTTCTTTGTGAACTTCCTGTAAGAAAGATCTGTGGTATAGGTCAAGTGGCTGCGAAGGTCCTGAATGGTGTCTTTGATATACACACATGCGGAGAACTGTTGGATAAACTTGCGTATATCAACATGATGTTCTCCGAAAATTCTTTTAACTTTTACATACGAGTTGCTTTAGGTATTGGATCAAGCGGTATAAGTATTGATTATATTCGAAAGAGTGCAAGCACCTCTAGGACTTTCGCCCCTACCAATGATGTAAAGTTGCTTTACGAACACTTGCGTCATATTGCGGAAGAACTAGCACATAGACTTGATCAGGAGAATTTGGAAGGCAAGACAATAGCAGTTATCTTCAAAATGCAGACATTTGAGCAGTTTACGCGACAAAAAGCTCTAACCAAATATATCAGTATTCAACATGACTTGTACACTTATTGTAAAGCTATTTTAGATAAAGAAGTTCCAATATCTCTTCGCCTATTGGGTATTCGAATCACGAATCTACGCGATAAGAATACATCTAGTGTTAAGAGCTATTTTGCAATTAAGGAAGTTCGAGATTCACTGAATAATTATGAAATGTCGCAATTGCTTTCAAGTAAACAAGAGAATTTGAAAGGTGAATTGAGTTGCAATGAGCAAAGTTCTCAGCAAGTAAATTTAATATTGGAATCTCGGAAAACAAGTCAAAGATGTAATGTAACAGAACCGTTGCATAAGACTTCTCAAGATACAAGCTTAAAAAGGTCAAGTAGGCAATGTATACCAGAGCCACAATGTTTGGAACAGAATGACTTTTGTTCCGCGCAGCATATAGGCCCGCGAGATGACAATATATCTCATATAACAGAGTCTCAGAAAACAAATCTGAATGATAGTACCTTTGCTGTTGATGTAGTCACCATAATTGATAATGAGCAATCTCAAGATAGAACACCTACTCAAGGTGACATTGCAAATCTCACGGAACTATCAATCTCAGATGATTTCGAAAATGTTCTCACTCAACTTGAACTGTCTGATAAAAGCGTTGAGTCAAGAGTTGATTCTAACACAAGGAAACGAGCATTAGAAGATGTAGCCAAATCATCAACTATCTTTGATTCATTAACATTAAAAAGAAGGTTAATTAATGATGATCAAGTTACAACTTCATCTCAAGCTCAAGTTAACGATGATAAAACGCGCGTCAAAAATACAGATGTAATCCATGAGAATTGGAATTGTCCAATATGCAACCGACACTTCGATAACCCAACAAGAATGCGGGTTAATAGTCATTTTGAAGCCTGCAGAGCACCTAGATTCCCTAATACCAAAATTAATGGAGTAAGAGGTCGAAGAGGACGTGGTAGGGGGCGGCGTGGATCACCTCATCCTACTGTAACATTGCATAACTTTTTCCCATCATCTCATCTAGGAATCCACTAAGGTATGAGGAAAAGGTGTCAGAGTTAGAATTTAAGAACACATGTACATTAAGATTTTAGAAAAGAGCTTGCTGATAAATCAATCAGTACAGGCTATGTATGCATAACTTAAGAATGTAGTAAATTAATGTTATTTTTTGATGATGGACATTTAATTAATATTAGCAAAAATTATACATATTTATATATGAACGATAATCATTGGATAACATGGTTGTAAAAAGTATTTTTATTTTTATTTCAAAATAAACTTTTAGATGGTCTCCGATATGTGATTAATTTATAACTAATCAATCGCCTAAATTGTTTGTTATTGGTGAATAATTTTTTTTTTTAAATAAATATAATAAATAAAGAATATATTTTGATTATTGATGTGATATAAAGGGTTATTAGTGGATTAATTTTTATTTGAGTTGTATTACCACTTTACGAAGGAAAAAAAAATAATGAAGTTTTTGGAAGAACATGACAATATAAATTAATAAGAGAACTAAGAGAACGTAATAACCTTAATGAAATTTTGTACATTGGAATAAATAATATTATAAGTGGTGATTAATTGAATTAATAATATAGTAAATACATTTTTACAGTCACATCCTATTTTTTTTTAAGGAATTGCTATTCTCTTCGATAAAGAATATCGTAATGTCCAGGTCGATATAATAACACCAAAGGTTTTAAAGTAACAGTTCCTTTCGACCCTTCATCATCAGGATAAAACTCATGAAAATTAACTTGTTCCATCGCATCGGATCCACTCATATACGCAATTTCAACAGGAACTTTTAAAGCTTTAGTCAATGCCATAACATGAATATGATCAGCTTCTTGATCCATGGCCTCTACAGAACTACTACAAAATTGATCCATTCCAAATTCAAATCCTAAAAAAGGTTCATATTCTTCACGATGTAATTTTAAATATGCCGCAGTAATTAAACGAAGATAAAAGACAATACAGTTAGAAATTTCATCGGTTTGAAAAATTGTTAATAACATATCTTCGTCGTATTCTCCGTTCGCAACAATTTTCATCTGCTTTTCAATATGTTCCTCATAAATATCTTGATAAACCAATTCTTGGTACCCAGCTTCCTTAAAAAGCGGAATCGTATCAGCCAAAGATTTTAGCGCGGATTGACGTAAATTATTGTCTTTAGAATCCATAAGTCGTTCGAACCATGCAAATCCAAAAGCTACATAAATGAAAATGCTAATGGGTTAATTCATAGGTTTCTAAAAAAGCGAAGTGTTAAGTCAATTAAAATAGTTACCCCTATAAAAGCAGTTACCATCCCCACGACAACGTCTTATCTTACTATGTCTCTCTGCCAATTTCTAACATTATAAAAAATGAATTCTCTTAAACCATCATTCACACATGATGGCTTGTTGATGTGTAAAAAGAAGATAACAAACCATAATTTTTTGCCGATATACTTCGCTGCCCTGTTCATATTCTTGGTATAACTTTTGAATGTCCTCTGTCAAGCAAACAAGCGGTGTTTTTTCAACTTCTTTTTTAATAGATTGCTCATATTCCCAATTCTGTTGGGAAGTAATTTGAGCTTCCTGTGCAGCATTTGCGGTTGTCTTCCCTTCGGTAGTATCTGAAGTTTCATTGGACGGACTGCTTACGGGGGCAGTTTCGGCAGTTGTACTTACATTTTGTGGTTCTGTAATAGTATTAGTATTTTCGATAGGGGTTTCCTTTGTCTCTTCCTTCTCTGAACCACTATGTATATCAACAGTTTCCTTCACTTCGGAAGAAATTGAAGCTTCTGTTTTTTCATGAGTTTCAGTAGTTGAGTTATTATAATCTACTCCTCCTCCCATGTTCATAATAGTTAACTAAATGTAAAGTGTAATTTCAGGTATTTATTTAACTTATTCACTAGTACGTGATACAAATCGTGGTTGTAATTATACAGACACTATTATGTCACGTGAGTAAAGATAATCGATTATTAACGTTTACTTTGGTTATTGTTCTTCGCGTTTTGTTTAATATGCTGTCAAAAAAATTTATATTTACATTGTATAATGTTAGACCAAAAAATCCATTATTGTATAGATATGGCACACTATCTTCAAAGCCTTATATATCTAATGGGCTACTCACAAAACACGTCACTGTAACTTTACAACTTTATCAAAATTTCTTTACAAGTCAACGGCTTTTATTAGCTTCGAAAAAAAAACCAGGTTGGAAGGAAGATAGTAAAAAAGGCAAAAGTTATACTAAAGATAAGATTGAAGAAGAGGAAGAAAAGAACATTAATATAAGTGAAAAAGAGAGAAATTTCGACTTAAGTAAAGTTGAAGCTAAAGCAAACATAGTCACTGAAAAATTAAAAAAGGATTATAGTTCTATGAGGATTGGTCGTGCGAACCCGGGTTTGAACATTTTTTTTTAAAAAAATTTTAACGGATTCGTTCAAATTTTTTATTCTTTACCATTATATGATTTTTAGCCATACTTGATCCTGTGTCAGTACCGTTTAAAGACAGTAGCACACCTCTTAAAGATATTGCGCAAATCATTGTCAAAGACCCTCAAACCCTGTTGGTACATGTGCACGAAGAAGAAGTACGGAATTATAAATAAAAAAAAAAAATAGAATCTAGATTAAAGAGATACAAACTCAACAGTATTTTTTTTTTGTCTTTTTTAGTTATTAAAAGCCGTAGATAAAGCCATAAGGAGTGCAAATTTAAATCTAAATTCCGTAATTGAAGGAAAAAGCATTAAAGTACCGATTCCCAAGTAAGCAAAGTTCAGTTTGATCTGTATTCTAAATTTGCGTAATTTACGCGTTTTTTTCGTGTTAGAATCACAACTGAATATCGAGAGAAGATGACCAAGGTTGCGTCAAAGATTGCTGAAAGTGCTAAAATTAAGATTAGACGTATAAGGGAAGATGGTATGAAAGATTTGAAAAAGGACTGTGCGAATAGGTTACCACGTGATGAAGCAATTATATTAACCAAAAAAGTAAATATTTGATTGTTTTTTTTCAATGACTATCAAGTTTTTACTTAACGCGATTTCCCTTTCTCCTCTAGCTTCAGTCGCTTATAGAGAAATCTGTGAAAGATGTTGATGAAATTTTGAAGGTCAAGAGTAAAGAAATATCGGGAAATTAATTATACTTAATAGAAGCTTTACTTTTTCTCTTTTTGACCTCTATATAGTCACATCTTATAAAGTTCTTTCTCTATATATAATTACGCAATATAAAGAATGTATAATAAGACCTCTATATAATCACGTCTTCTCTATAGTCACATTTTCTAACTGCGCATGATCAAGGTACAAGCCAAAATCATGTGACTTTATAGTAAATCTTACATAAATTTTGCTCTTTCCCGGAACATTCATAAGTTTTACTGTTCATTATCTGTCATGTCGTCTGGAAGAGTTTCGTTTTTGGACCAACTGCAAAATCGTGAAGTTACAGAATTAGGCTTACGTTTAAAGGAGGCAAGCGAAAATGTGACAATAAATCACACAGGTATCCAACAAACAGCTAAACGTCCAATTATTAAAAAAGTACTCGAGACAATGACGGCTGGTATAGATGTATCATCATTATTTGGTGACGTTATCAAGGTTCGAGTAGTTAGTGTTCTAAGATATTATCAATCGATTCATACTTTACGTTAATATGTTAATAATATCAAAGGCAGCTTCTACAAAGGATTTGGTTCAGAAAAAGCTTGCATATATGTATATATCAACACAGGCCGAACAAAATGCTGATTTGGTCATTTTAGCTATTAATACTTTTCAGAATGATCTTCAAGATGAAAATCCTTTTGTAAGAGGATTAGCTTTACGTACGCTTTGTTCGATGAGGTAATTAGTAAATGCTATATATCAAATTTTTATTTCAAAATTATTAACCTAATATCAAACAACACCTTTAATTAGGCTTATAGATTATGTACCATATATGTTAGAATCTTTAAGTCACGCTTTAATCGATTCTAGCGCATATGTACGAAAGACCGCGTTAATTTCGTGTATCAAATTGTTTAATCTTTCTCCAAAACACGTGTTAGGTAGATGATCATTCCCTTTGTAAGTTTAAAAATGAAATTTCTTTTTTTTATATTTCAAAATTGATCTAAATTCTCAAATATACCAATTATGTCGATAACGTATATCAGATGCTCCTTTGGTTGATCAATTATATAATACTCTGAGAGATCGTGACCCCGAAGTTGTTGCAAATTGCATTGTTGCTTTAAATAGAATATTTCTTTCGGAAGGCGGAATGACTGTAGACACGAATATCGCACATTATTTACTTCAACGATTACACGAATTTAATGAGTGGCATCAGTGTTTGGTATTGGATACTCTTATTCGATATAAACCATCTAGCGAAGACGAAATTTTTGATATTATGGCAAGTCAAAGAATTACTCCTTAAAATTAATGATGTTATCTTATAAATTAACATGCGATATTTTATAGAATCTTTTGGACGATCGGCTTAAACATCATAATAGTGGAGTTCAGTTGACTACTGTTAAAATATTTATAAAATTAGCCGAAGGGATATACGATATCCAAGAAGATGTTTATAAAAGGATAAAAAGTGCGTAAAAAATCGATGATTCATGATTTCTATAATTCTTTTTAATTTATTGCGACTTATATATTATATAGGTCCGATGTTGACATTATTAACGTTAACAAGTCCGGAGATAGTATATTCATGTTTGGAGCATATTATTGTATTGATGAACCAATCTCATCAATTGTTTCGGGAAGATTACAAATATTTTTACCGAAGGTATATGGAATATTCGACCTCGTTACTATTATTATTGCTAAATTAAATTATTTAAATTCTAACTATTATAGAATTAAAGAACCATCTTTTGTTACTCTGAAAAAGTTGGAAGTGTTAGAAGGCATTGCAACAAAAATAAGCTCGAAAGAAATTATTAATGAAATTAGGTAATTTATATCTCATTATTAGTGACTTATGGAAATAATATTATAAGCTAATGTTAACAATTCAAATTATTAGTGGTTATATTACTGGAACCGATAAGGTTATTGCGCAAAAATCTATAGAATCGATCGCCAAAATTTCGTTTCGTATTGAAAATGTGCTTTCTTATTCTCTCGAAGTTTTTATGAAATTACTGGAAACTGGCATTGACATCATTATATCAAGTATTATTACAGCACTTGAAGGTAAATACGTATATTAAATAACTATAATTTAAACAAATTAAGATTAATTTTGTGCTTTTAGAGTTCATGAACGAAAGTCCTGAAAAAGTTGGAAGTTTGCTTTCGGTTTTACCTTCTGTTTGGACATCAATAGATTTGAGTTCACAAGCAGGACCAGCTTTCCTTAACCTTTTGACAACAGTTGGATATGAAATTTCGGAAGCACCATATATTTTGGAGTCCTTGATAGATGATCTTGAAAGTTATCCAGCAACTTCTTTCCGCTTACAACTTTTAAATTCAACTGTCACATTGTTTTTACATAGACCAGCAGAATGTCGTGGTATGTTGGCTAAATTATTTAAATATTCAATGGAGCCTTACGAAAGCTTAGACATCCGTGAAAGAGCATTATTCCTTTATAGATTATTACAAAAAGATATCAAAAAGGTTTGTAATTTTATTGTTAATTGTTTTAGGATTCTTCTAATAAAAAAAACTTGTAATTGATTCATTTTAGGCACAGGAAATTTTTAAGCATCAACGCTACGCGTCAAAGAAAAATGGGAACAATAATTTTAAAACGAGGGTTTGTTCGATTCGATAAAATGTTACATGTTTCGGAATTTAGATTTAATTTTTAATCCTTAAACATTAATTATTATAGGATAAACATCTTACTAAATTTAATACAATCTCTCTCCTTTATGGAAAACATTCGGAACAAACTCTTTTTGAACAAACACCGGGTAATTTTTCGAAAAGGAATGATGATCAGTTCTTTTCCTCACCAACACATCATATATCGGAATTTGATGAAGTAAGTTATATGATTATTATCATTCAACCTAAAATTTATACTTACAGCCATTTAAATTATTTATTTTAAGTTGATATCACTGCAATCTCAAAACGTAGTTAAGGATGAGTTTACGTTATCATCAACAGTATCAATTGAGGCTAAAAAATTCAAAGCATGTTGGGAAAATTTTACGGAAAGGTAATCCCTTTTTTTTTTTTTTGTTTGACCTAATGATCATTATTATTTAATATCAATCAACAACTCTAGCCACGAATTTGAAATATCTTTATTGGATTCATCGGCTTCTTTGATTTCATTGACATTAGACGACATTGAATCTGTGTTTGAAGAAAATATGATGATGATTATGGCTTCAGGAAGTTCCGGCGATTATTTAAAATTTTTCCTGTATGCTCAAGAGGTACATTATAAGCTTTTCTTTAAATATTTATATATGTTTACCGTTTAATTATTCTATTTATATTACAGATTAATTCCAATATATTGATGTTATGTGAGCTTAAACTGAACCTAAATTTAAAGTTAGCTAAGATTAATTTGAGAATAGGATATGAGGCATATGGGATTATTCATGAAGATCAAAAAATGAATTTATCTAAATATTCAGAATATTTTATACAATATCTAACCAGATACGTGAAAGAATTAAGTAATTTAGTAAAATGAGGCATTTCTTTTGAACAATATGACTATTAAATAAAAAAGATTGTTAAATAAACTTAGCAATATTAATAGTACTAATTCCAATTAGTATCTGTTCCGTTTACAACTTCAGAGCACAATTACACCACTTTGGTCAAATTAAATCGACTTTCTAAATTAATTGAAAATTGTTCAGCAAGGTTGAAACTACCTACATATTAATTTTTATGAGTGTAAGTATAATATTTGCGGAGAAATTTATGTTTTTTATAATAATACTAATTTTGAGTTGAAAGCTTTTTGCATTGCTTAATTATAAATGAAAATTTACAAGTATTATTAATAGTAACAGTTTTATAAATAATGCATTATTATATATATTTATATATTATAATTTATAAGTAATATACAGTATATAAAAAGTACAGTAATATCTTTATACACCTGCACATAGCTTGGTTTTAAGCTAGGGATTTAGAACTAAGCAATCCAGGTGTATTGAATAATGTTAACTAATCAGCTGCGGTTGATTCATTATAAAGTAAAGAATCTGGGTTAATTATAGAATCTGTCATTTTAATATAAAGGAATCAGGATCCTATCATAATAGCTTTTAGGTGTAGTATACAGTTTTTATTATCAGTTTTATCAGTTTCATTTATAAAAAAAAATTTCTACCTATATTAAATATTATATTAATGTGATTATTGAAATTGCATTTACCACATTCATAATATTCTAAATGCGAGTGAACATGACAAAAAAATCCATATAATAATCATCCTGAAGCTGAAATATTTCTAGTAAACCAGTAATTTTTTTTGTCCTTGTCACACAACTTATAAATGATAAAAAAAAATGTCAATTATTTTATTATTACTATTGTTGCTTATAGATGCAAATTGTATAATCATTTCCATCTATATCCTCTGGTACAAGGTTTAGATTGTAAAAATAGTAATTACAGGTAATATTAACCAATTCTTACTTAACCGTAGCTGAAGAATACATTTTTCGCTGTAATCTCTTCTGATTTGTAAACTCAGTTCGAATTGTTATAAAAAAATTGAAGATTTTTGTATAGTAATAAATTGCAATGGAATTAAGATAAAACCAATTCAATAATAAAGAAACTTCTTTTTGTCTAAAAGAAAGACGAAAAAAGTGTAAGACGGTCTCCTAATTATTTGAATATTATTTCTTTAGCAACTTCAACGCTGCAATCTAGATTATTTCCTAATAGTACCCTAGCTATGGCGAAAAAAAAGCTGCAGTCACATAATGTCGATCTGATCCAACCCTAATTGGTGATCTGATCTCTTTTTCGATAATTTTTTTTTTCACAATTTATAGTAATAAGTAATATTATAATTTTTTTTTCTCTAATAAATTGACTTACAATCTTAAAAAAAAAAAAAAAATTTTGAAATTTTTTTTATAACAATTGTAAATTTTTTCAATTATTTATATTATCGTTATTTATTAATATTTTGTCAAATATTCAAATAATAAATGACTTTAAACTTATTTTTCAATATACATATAATAACTTTATTTAATGCAACCAGAAGGCAAGTTTCCAGTTTTAGATTTTCATGTACTTTGTTGTTTACTAGAATTTAGCGTCTTTTTACATTCCTCAACAGCCTTAACAACTGGCTTCATAAGAGTATCAAAGCTTTTTATGAAATGAGTGTTGTTTTTCTCTTTTTCATATAATTGTAATGCAGAATCAAAGATTTTTTTATAATGAGCAAACTTCACCTCTATTTCATATTTTGTACTACTTCTTTCTTCTAATTCTATATTCTACAAATTATTAGATCTTGGACAGAATTATCTGGTAAAGTCATCTTCATTAAGAGTTGACTTATACCTTTTCCAGGAATCATTTTCTCAGCAAATTAGTTGTATTTTATCATCAGTAAAGTTGCCTGTAGAGTTCCGAATGGGACAGGTCAGGTCAGGTTAGTAATTGATAAATCTGACCTGAAATATTTTTTCAGGTCAGGTCAGGTCAGGTTATATCAGGTTGTCTGTTTGATCTGACCTGACCTGAAACCTGAAAAATTTCAGGACTATTTTTATTAAAGTATTGAAAAAAAATGGTACAAAACTTTTTT